GCAAAGTAGACACAAAATAGAGAGATGAAATGAAAGGTTATGGTGTGATGAAATAATTTGGTATGAATAGTTACAACTATGTATACTTATGTATAAATATGTAAATAATCACATAAATATATGAAAATATGACACAAATCAAATGTAAAATAATTGTAATAATATTTAGTAATATTCTATATACTTAAGAATATATCAAGGTGAGTGAACACTACTACAAATATGCTGCAATGAATGGAAATATGTTTAATTGTTTTTAATTGTAGAATTTGTTTAATAAAGTTTTTTAAATATTAAAAAAAGATGAAAGTTTGCATCTTTAGCAAGGTCATTCCCAGGCAAAGGTTTCAAAACAGACTGGGATCAATCAGAATAAAGCTGGAAGAGACCTTGGAGGCCTTCTAGTCCAACCCCCTGATCAAACAGGAGACCCTATACCATTTCAGACAAGTAACTATCCAATCTCTTAAAAACTCCAGTGATGAAGCACCCACAACTTCTGAAGGCTAGCTATTCCACTGGTTCATTGTCCTCACTGTTAGGAAGTTTCTCCTTAATTCTAGGTTCTTCTTTCCTTGATTAGTTTCCATCTATTGTTTCTTATCCTGCCCTATGGTACTTTGGAAAATAAGTTGATTCCCTCCTCTTTGTGGGAGCCTCTCAAATACTGGAATACTGCTATCATGTCACCCCTAGTCCTTCTTTTCTCTAGACTAGCCAAACCCAAATCCTGCAACTGATCTTCATATGTTTTTGTCTCCAGTCCTTTAATCATCTTAGTTACTCTTTTTGCATTTTCCCCCCCGAGACTCAACATCTTTTTTGTAATGTGGTGACCAAAACTGGATGCAGTATTCCAGATGTGGCCTTACTATGGCTTTATCAATCAGTACTAATACTTCATATGATTTTGATTCTATGCCTCTGCTTATACAACCAAGAATTGTATTAGCTTCTTTGGCTGCTGCAGTATGCTGCTGACTCATATTTAAGTGATTGTCCATTAGGACTCCAAGGTCCTGCTCAGCTACTGTTTTTTGAACCAGGTTTTGCTAATCTGTACTTGTACCTTTAGTTTTTCCTGCCTAGGTGCAAAACCTTGGTTTTCTCCACATTAAATTTCATTTTGTTGGATAGGGTCCATTGTTCAAGTCTGTCAATTGATCTTTTTGGATCCTGAGCTTGTGTTCTGGAATGTTGGCTATTCCTGCCAGTTTACTGTCATCTGCAATTTTGATGAGTTCCCCTTCTATTCCCTCATCTAAGTCATTTGTGAGATATTGAAGAGTACTGGGCCTAAGATGGAACCTTGTAGTATCCCACTACTTACGTCCCTCCATGAAGTTGTAGTACCATTAAGGACTACTTGTTGAGTATGGTTTATCAGCCAATTACAAATCCATCTGGTGGTGATGCTATCTATCCTACATTTTTCTAGCTTACCGAAAAGTAGTTATGGTCTACTTTGTCAAATGTAGGTGGACTGGTTGCTTTCATGGTGTGGAGACAATAATGTGGTCCCCAATAAGACCAAGGAGCTTATAGTGGACTATAGAAGGAATAGATCAGACATCCAGTCCAATGGAGACTGTGTGGAGCAAGTGGCCAGTTTTAAATTTTGAGGTGTTTATCATAAAAGAGGATCTGACCTAGAGACTCACATTGCATGACTGGTCAAAAGGCTCCAGCAGAGATTATACTACATGAGACTTCTCAGGAAACAACTGAATGAAAAACTGCTGGTGACCTTCTACCACTGCACCATAGAGAGTATTTTAACTTTCTGCACCTGTGTATGGTTTGCCAATTGCACAGTGGCAGATAGAATAGCACTCCAGAGGGTTAACACCATTGCCCAGAGGATCATTGGTTGCCCTTTCCCCTCTTCGGAAGAGTTTTAAAGCTCCCGCTGCCTTAAGAAAGTTCAAAACATTCTTAAAGATCCATCTCATCCTGGGCAACCTTTTCTTGAACAACTACCATCTGGCAGACAGTACAGGATAATAAAAACAAGGACAAATAGGCTGAAAAACAGCTTCTATCCCAGGGCAGTAACTATATTGAATTTTACTGTATAGTGCAATATTAATGCAATATCGGGTTCTCAGTTCAATTGGATAGATGTGTGTGTTGAGGTAATTCCCCATTAGGAGAATGAGCGCACACAGGGAGACGTAGTGAGAGTAGTGAAGAATAACACACACACAGCACACAGATACACTGTATCGTAAAATGTAGGTTTTTTACTTCCAGTAAACGGTTAAGCAAAGCCCAAACAAGCAGTCCAAGTCATTCACAGTTAAAGCAGTCAGTTTTCAGTCCAGGGATAATCCAATAACAAAGTCCAGTATCAAAAACAGTTCAGTAACAGACTTACATCAAATCCAAGACGAACTATGATCAGTAACACTCAATAGGAACGGCAACACTCTCCAGAACAACAGAACTTAACTGAAACAACCCAGGTTTCTGGCTCCATCTTATGGCCGTTTGAGGAACCACACCCAATTACAGTTTTAGCATTTTCTTAAAGAGACAGTATTAAAATGTCTATCCTGGTTTATATATTTTTCCAACCCAACTATTAGGTGACTTACATTCCTAACAGTGCGTTTGTGTTTTATTTTTATAGTTATAATGTACACTGAAGATGGCATTTAATTTTGTTGTACGAGGTGCAATGGCAATAAACTAAACTAAACTAAATGCCTTGCTGAAGTCTAAATATACTATGTCCACAGCATTTCGCTTATCTACTAATTTAGTCACTTTGTCAAGGAATGAAATAAGATTGGTTTGGCATGATCTGTTTTTAACAAACCCGTGCTGATGCCTAGTTATTTCTTTATTCATTTCCAAATGTTTGCAGATCTATTTTTTGATTATATTTTCCAGTATCTTTCTAGGTATTGACACTAGGTTGATTGGTCTGTAGTTTCCTAGGTCTGTTTTTTTCCCTTTTTTGAAGATGGGGACCACATCAGCTCTTTTCCAATTCTCTGTTAGTTCCATGATGCTCCAAGATTTTTTAAAGATATAATACAATGGTTCTGAGATAACATCTGCCAGCTTCTTTAGAACTCTGGGATGTAATCCATCAGGTCCTGGTGATTTATATTCATGAAGGTCAGTCAAATGTTTTCTTACCGTTGTCTTGCCTATTTTAATTTTTGTTTTTAGTCTGTTTTTAATAATTATGTTTTTAGTAGTTGGGCTATACTCTCTTTTTGTGTGAAGATTGATGCAAAGAATGAGTTAAGCAGCTCTGCTTTCTCTCTACTGTCTGCTACTTCCTGGCCATCTTCTCTCTTTAGAGAACCAACTGTTCATTGACTTTTTTCTTGTTATTTATATGTCGAAAGAAACTTTTTAAAATTATATTTGACTTTTGTTGCAAGTCTTTGTTCATCCTAATGGTTTCTGCTGTTCAAACTCTTGAAGAAGTACAAAGAAATGGGCAAGGTTAAGGATTGTAGATGCAGTGGTTGGCCAGGAAATTAATGTAGCAGATGAAAGACATGCCATGCTTACTTTCCTTTGACATTGGAAGATGTCCAGCAGTGCCATCAGCATAGAACTGATGGAAACCAGTGTGACCCAAATACACTCATCTACTGTCTGGAGAAGTCTGCCCAGAAATTATTTTCATGGAAGAATTACAGCCAAAAAGCCATATCTTTAATGTGAAAACAAGGCTAAGTGATTCAACTACACAGTAAAACATAGGAATTAGCTTGCAAAAAAAATGGCAAGAGGTTGTCTGGACTGAGAAGTCAACATTTGAAAGATTTGGCTGTAACTGGAGAGCAGTAAATAATGAGTTTCTGTAGGCAATAGTGTAGCATGGTTGTCAGAGTATATTCATGAACTGGAATAGAGCATGGTAACAAGGTCAGCCAATAAATAGGTATAGCAACTAAGTTGGCCAATGAGTACTGTTTGGAAACTGAAACTAGAAGTAGCCTAGACATGGCTCTATATTAAGCTCTGCAACTCTGAAGCTATGTTAAGCTGCGTCTGTCTATTGAAAATGAAACTTCTTCTCTCCTCTGCTGCGTATCTTGCTTGCCTGCTGAACTAAAGTGAAACTGATATCTGTTTCTCAGCTGAAGTTGAGTTGCCATTCTGCTCTGAACCTGTAACATGTCTGCTCTTTGAGTTTGCTCCATGTCGGAAAAATCTACAACTGGTATTGTAAACTTTATGTGTTTATAAAGAAGATAAATGAAGCCTCAGTCATCTGTGTTTACTTTTCGGGCACTGAATTTATGCTGCAATACTCTGAAAAATTGTGGATCCTTGAAAGCCTGTGATTGTATTTCTGCAAATGGAGTTGGAGATTTGGTCAAAATCAATGATTCCTCAATGCTGAGAAACACAGGCAGATACTTATCCATCATGCCATATTATCAGGAAGGTGTGTAATTAATCCCAAATGTATTCTGCAGCAGGACAATGGCCTCAAATATATAGCTAATGTCATTCAGAAATATCTTCAGCATAAAGAAAAACCAGACGTCCTGGAAGTGATGATTTGGCCTCCATAAGAGCCCTGATTTCAAGTCTGTTTTGGATTACATGAAGGGACAAAAGGATTTGATGCAGCCTATATCCATAGAAGATTGTGCTTATTTCTCCAAGATGTTTGGACCTTGAAGGAACTTTGCTGAATTCCTTCAAAAACTGAGTGCAAATGTACCTAGAAAAATTGATGCTGTTTTTAAAGGAAAGGATAGTCACACCAAATGTTGGTTTGATTTGAATTTCTTTTCTGTACATTTATTTGGGGACACTGCTACAATTTAGTAATAATAATGACTGAGCTGTTTCTCATATCTCAGGTGGACTAGCAGTTTCACTCTTCTATTAGTCTGTTTGCTTAATGGGACATTGGTGACACCTGAACAAAAAAACTTCATAAGCTTACAAAGAAACTAATTAAATTATACATTTAAACTTTGCAGCAAAAATCTAAAATGTGTTGTTTTCATTGCAATTACCTTTAATTGCAGCTAAATATCCTCGAAGTTCTTTTTGAAGTCTGGAACCTTCTGCCTGAAATACAAAATAGAAATAAAATAAAATCCTATAAGCAACTCAGATCCATGAAGAAAATAACTGAATTCTCATATGTGATTATTATATATATTATATGCAGTATATAGCTGAATTAATATTGTATATCAATTCAGTCAAATTTAATCTCTTAAAAAACTAAATGAAAAAGTTCTCTAGAAAGCAGCTAAAAATCCCCACATATTTACTAAGTGACTCTATTATGTAACAGACTTGAAATCAGGGCTCTATACAGTAATGCAAAACATTTTTCTACAATATACTAGGCTTCAATGCAAGTCATTTGATGTCTATGGACATTCTCAATCATCCATATCATAATTATCCCAAAAATGATTTTCAAAAGGGAAGTTAATTTTTTTCCTTGAAAACGTTTTGCTTCTCATCCAAGAAACAGAATGTTGCCTTTTAAAAAGCACCTTTGGGACAAGTCATTTGATGTTTCTGGCTCTGCTCCTTGGAACTGTGAAGCAACTGACATGGCCAGAAGACTTAAAATGATCTGCAGAGGCCTATTGTTTACACAGGAAATGAGCAATGCACATATTAATGTACTGCACTGTATTGTACTATACTAGTGTAGGTATAGTGGTTAACAGTGCTGCAGTGAGTTTTAGTCCTTTATTAGGAATGGAAACTGGAAGTCATGCAAAAACATTAACTGTATAAAACCTGTACTCAACTTAGTTCTGAGAGGCAATTTTTCACCATATGTTTGTCCAATCTAATACAGGCAATCCTCAACTTACGAGCACAATTCAGCCCCAAATTTATGTTGCTAAATGAGAAATTTGTTAAGTGAGCTTTGCCCCATTTTATGACTTTTCTTGCCATATTTGTTAACTGAATCACTGCAATTGCTAAGTTAGTAACATGGTTGTTAAATGAATCTGGGTTCCCCATTGACTTTGCTTGTTAAAATGTCGCAAAAGATTACATGACCTCAGGACACTGCAACCATCATAAATATGAACCCATTGTCTAGTATCCAAATTTAAATCACATGACCATGGGGATGCTGCAGTGGTCTTAAGTGTGAAAAATGGTCATATGTCACTTCAAATGGTCATTAAACTGTTGTAAGTCAAGGACTACCTGTACCATTTTCTCTCTCCCAGCCAATAGAAAGGCTTCATTAATCAAGTTCTATTTAAAACAAGCCCAGAAATGTTTAAAAAGGGAAAAAATAAGCATCAAAGCTACTATAATATACTATATACTATAATATCATTCTGAATATATTAGGAGCAAATATTTCAAGTACACTCATGAGTATAGACCAAAAAATGACAACTTTTGAGAAAGATCATTTCTTAGTTTAACATATTTGTAATCAACAGTAAATTCAGTCCTAAGTATCTCACTCATAATTTAGTCACATTTTTTTCGTTCAGGTTTTTGAAAACTGCTCCCATAACATCAAACACAATTTTAACTTCAAACCCTGATACTTCGTTTGGTTGGATCTATTCTTTTGGGTTTTATACTGAATAGATAATAAATAAAATCTACAACAAGAGAGTACAGCAAGTTCTACTTGATAGATGAATTAATTACAAACATTTGGAGTTATGTAACATTGCCCAACTTTTACTTTCAGAATATAATTAGTTACAGGAAGGTACTTACTTTGCTGTAATTTAGAGCAATGCAAATTTCACTTAAGTTAAAAAGGTCTATCGTTATGTTTTTATGATCTATTTTCTAATTTAATAATCCTTAGAATTATTAATTGGCCAAATTTTGCATTGTATGTAATAATTTGTATGTAATAATTTTCTAGGTACTCCATGACATGAGATCTAAGATTCAAAGAATGGGATCTTGCTTAGGTTTCCCAGGGAAATAACATTAGATCAGGGATCCCCAACTCCTGGTTGGAAACTGGGCCGCCAAACAGTGAGTGACCAGTGAAGTTTCATTTGTGCATCCATGAGATACAGGTTGTGTGTGTGAAACTGCTGCCAAAACCATCAAAGCCACTGCTGCTGCTTGTCTGCAAAACCAAAAATGTTGAGGATCTCTTTTTTGACAAATATTAAGCCAAGAATTTCCCCCAGGATTTCTCACTAATCATCAATGCTACATTTAAGTATGACTTGAGTGACTGTAGTTTGCATCTCTTAACATAATATTTACACTAATGCCTTGAAAAGTGGACAATAGAGGAAGCTGTTACAAAGGCCAACTGAAATGCTTCAGTTGACCTGAATCATGCAAGGAATTCTAGAAACATCAGAACAACCTAATCAGGCAGTGTCCCTAAACATTTTTTTACAAACATTCACAAATCAATTATGTTAGGTTGACTAAAGAGAAACAATTGAAATAAAATACAATTAGTACAAGCTATGAAGCACAGATAGGCTCCATGACCTTTTTTTAAAGAAGAAAAGAAATCCATTAAATTAAGGTATTTGGCAGATCTGTCATCTACTGGATTAAATACAAATATCAGGCTGTTTTCATTTTTACCAAATTCCAATATGTAATGTATTCCAGCCATGAACATTATAGCTCCGTGAGATCAATTGGAAATTAGAAATAAAATGTAAATTTATTATATATATTGATTGATTGATTAGCCCTTGGGCCATGTACAATTTAAAATGAAATTGGAATAAAATACAATACTTTAAGTAGATAAAATATGATAAAATAATATTTTGGTATTACGCCTACCCCAATCAGTCCCACATATGCTGATCTCAACCAAATCATTTTGCTTAAGTACTGTGCTCTATTAAATGTTATTTTCAGATTCTGGCCACACATAAAGTAAGTTGTTTTGATATGGGGATCCCAATGGGTCATTTGTTTGATATATAGACTGAGGTACCTGTCTCTTATACAGGTAACAATCAAATAGGATGTGAGCCAGGTTTTCTACCTCTCCCACTCCACAAATGCAGAGACATTGATTGTATGCTGTAGAATGGAACCTCCCATATCTGACCATTGTGTCAAGCTGTTCGAATTTCGCTCCCATAAATATTTTCCTAAGATTTTTTGACACTTGTAACTTCAAACAGCTGTCTATTTGAAAGGTAAGTTTGTATTTGCGCAGCAGTGGTAGGATTCAAAATTTTTTACCACTAGTTCTGTGGGCATGGCTTGGTGGGCATAGCAGGGTATTTTGGATAGTGTATGAATTGTATGAATTCCCAATTTAGTTCTAACTGCTGCAGCAGATGTTCTTAGATCTACATCCAAAATACATCTCAAATGCTGGGACTGTGTTTGTTCTAGTACTGTCGTTGAGTATAGACCACATACGTCTACGCCATACAAGAGCATGGGGTAATCTTAGCTTTATATACTTTGATTAATGGGACTAGGGACCCTGGGTAACTATGATTCTTTAATTTAAGCAGTAAGTTTTAACAAGCTTTTAACAAGTGTACTCTGTTGATGATGGCAAGCCCAAGATCCAGTCTTGGAAAAAGTTATGCCTAAATACACAAAGGTGTTAATCTGTTCAAATGGTTCACCATCTAACTGCCATCTATGTCTCTGATCATGTTTTCCAAATATCATGATTTTTTATTTAGATTTACTAATGGTTAGGGAGTTGTCCTGGCAATAGGAGTAGAAGCTTCTTAATAGCCTACGTAATCTTACTTGTGAATACGACAATAAAATCATATAATCAGCATACAGCAAGCTATTACAGTATGTATTTAGGATCACAGGCATGTGTACTATGGGATCCTTCATTAACCCTGGCAAGTCACTGATATATAAACTAAATATTAATGGGGCCAGGATACACTCTTGCCTTACCCCTTTATTTGTGTGAATCCTGTTAGTGAGAGCCCCATTAACCCCATACCATACCCTCAAACAGGTACTTGTGTAAAAGGCTTTAATCAAAGCCAGCAGTCTAGGTTCTATTTTAAGGGGATATTTTCATTTTTACCAAATTCCAATATGTAATGTATTCCAGTCATGAACATTATAGCTCCATGAGATCAATTGGAAATTAGAAATCAAATATAAATAAGTTTGCTGCAAGGGGTGGGAGAAGAAGCTGAGCTGGCTCCAGCTTTGCACAGCCACTGCGCATTCCTTCAGTTGGCAGGTAGCTGTAAAAGGGCAAGAGGAGATAGTGTTTTTCTGCACCTGTGCAGTGTTTGCCCCTTGCAAGAAACAGCCTGAGGTGTTGGCAGCAATCACTCCATGAGGAGAACCAGGCTTGGCCACCCACTATCGCTTTGGTCAAAGTAGGAACAAGTGGGTGGAGGGCAGCCAGGAGTTATTTCACAATTGTCCCAGTTCCTCTTATGGCTCCTTAGGAAAGTTAATTGCCCACTCCTGAGTTAGATCAAAACTGAAAACAAGCACTTTGTCCAGATGAATGTAAATATTCGAGGGGGAGGAGGAGGAGGAGAAGAAGAAGAAATAGGGGGAAATGCCAAATCCAACCTAAACATCTGTCCGACAGCCCATAATAATAATTGGCATTAACAAATTCTTCATTGGTCAATTGTGAAAGACAGCTTTATTCAGAACAGCTTACATTCTTTGGCAATATATCTAACATCATCAAACATGAAAATCAGTCTACCCCAAATATTTGGGAAGGATTGATAATTAGACAAAAATGCCAAATCCAGTCTGGACATCTGGCTGATTGTGCAGTAAATCATAACAATGACAACAGTAATAACCACCTTAGAAGGCTGCTTGAGATAAATATATGAAACATAATATTCACATTATCTCTACTATAATTTTCCAACCAAACAAACTAATCTATTTCACGCTCACTCTTTAATACAAATTCATACTAAAGCATTTGGTTTGAATGCAGATGATTCTAAACAGTAGGAAATACAGGTAGTCCTCAACTTACAACCACAATCATTTGAAGTTGTAACAACACTGAAAAATATGAATTATAATAGGTTCCCATACTTACAACCATCGCAGCATCCCCCTAGTCACATGATCATAGTTCAGGTGTTTGGCAACTAGCACATATTTACAATAGTTGTGATCCCTGTTTGTGACCTTCCCAGCTGGCTTGAGGATGAATAGGCTGTGCTTTAGTAAAAAAAATGTGGATTTCTACACTAGATTATCTGTATTTAGTTGACATAATTCAGCCTAAAGGATTTTATTGGCACTTTACTGGATATAATCTGAGGTTTGTTTCTGGTAAACCATGGTTGATCTTAAAAATTTGGCAGAACTTCTGAAACATGAGGGTTTCATCCAGATTAGAAACCAAATGTATGTTCTATTTTATTTCTCAGTTATAGTCATAAGTTTCATAAGTTGAAAGGTGATCAAGAAAAAGCATTAAGTACCTAAACATAGAATAAATTATATACATTTCTAGTTAATGTATTTGTTAGTCTATGGGCTAGCTAGGATCTAGTGAATTAATATCTTATATGATAATCAAACCAACAAAAACCTACCTCTTGCCGTTTGAAGTTCTGAACATATTCTTCAAATTGTTCATCTTTTGTTTCATCAGCTTTGCCTAGCTTCTGAAGCACCTGTAAGTGAAGAATAGGATAATTCATTGTTATTTTGAGCAGGTCTCATCAAATATCAGTGGAGTGATTATATTGTTTTGACATTATCGGTGCTTCATCTCATTTTGATAATGTTTTACTATTTTTTTCTCACCAATTTATATCACAATACTAATACAATAGAAGCTATGATACTACTATTAAAAACACTCTCTAAGAAGAAAATATTGATTAATCATTTTATCTCCCTGTATCAATAGCCTGTCAATGTTTTAAAAATTAGCAAGGGTCTTGGCATATTTTTTTGTAATAAATCTTTCTGTTGATGAATGAAATTTCTGTTGATGAATGAAAGGCAACACAATAGAGAAAGATCTGACACTGTGCCAGTCAGGATGTTGAAGACCAAACTTTATTAAGCTTTCTCTTATATATTATGGTTCATTATTCCTGACAGTAATAACATTACTTCAATCTGTGTCTAATTTTAAACATATAGCAATAGAGAATCAGGAAAATAAATTGATTTGCCAGTTAATGAGATATGAAATCTTAAACATGAACTGACAAGTGAGTTTTGGGATTTATCCCCCACGTTAATCTTCAAATATATTTAATGCAATACAAATATGTACAAAAGCATTATGGTGAATATTTGCATTGCTCAGAAGTATGCTGAAGGGACCAAGATGCAGGATCTCAATTAAGTAAGGCATAACATCTGTGGGTGATTTTATAACACAGTGATAATAGCAGCACTTCATTAATGCACAAGTTGAAATAAAATGGAATGAGATTTGAAACAAGTGCAAAGCAAAACATACATCTTTCACCAGAAAGAGACTTCAAACTCCTTAGGCACTGAAGAGAGTTTGGCTCTGCTATTCATAGAATATTGTGAAGATGAGCTGTATATGAATCAGAGAAAATTGAAGCATGAACTTTCTAGATGGCAGAATTCAGTTACACTGTTTTAATGGAAGTGTGGAACTTCACACTTCCATTAAAACAGAAGAGCATTTAAAGTTTGTTCTGCAAACTCTTATTCTAACCAATGCACCCTCACTCTGTTCTTTCTTGGCTGTTTTCCTTTTTAAGAAAAGGAGGTGGAAGAGAGAAAGAGCTGAAAGAGGTAAGAATATGTAGTGACATTTAAAAACCCAGGACAATCTTGAATTTAACAAGACTTAAGATTCAAATTTTAGATAATCTGGTTTTAAAATTCAATTGGAGATTATCCAAGATTTAATCGAAGTAAAAAAGAGGTTTTGATTGAGTTCTTTTTCCATATAAAAAGATGACAGCATGTGAGTAGAGACTGTGTGCATGTGTGTACATATACACACACACCACATACGCGACACTCTCTCTCTCTCTTAAAAAAAAAATCAACAGACAGTTTTCTGAAATAAAGAACTGTCCTTTATAACAGAGGACAAAGGGTGTGACATCTATGCTCCCTTTTTTAGGGGTATTATAGGTTGTACACAACTTAACAATCTTCATTTAGTGATCATTTGAAGTTGTAACAACATTGAAAAATTGTCTTACAATCAGTCATTGCATTTATTAGTCAGAGGTCACATGATCAAAATTTGGTTGCTTAGCAATTGACATGTATTTATAATAGATACAGTATTCTGGGGTCGTATGATCACCATTTCCAACCTTTCTAGCTGACTTCAATCAACCAAAGTCAATGGAGAAAGCCAGATTCACTTAACAACCATGTGATTCACTTAACAGTGGCAAAAAGTAACATTGGGCATGACTCATTTAACAACAGACTTTCTTAGCAACAGAAATTCTGGTTGCAATAAAGAACAACCTTATACCGTATTACAAGATATCATGTTGCACTATATCACTATAATAAAATCTAGTTCTAGCTTTTGCATAGGGTGCATTCAAGATTTTTCTCTCCCTAGTTTTCTTCTTTTTGCAGTTCCGGTTGGATCAGTTATATATGCATCTTATATGTTAAATTCCATGAATTTAACTGCAATGATTGAATCTAGCTGACTTAATTTAAGTTGCCATTTTGAGTAAGTGGTTAATGAATAACAAAAGTAATATTTCAAAAGGAAATATTTGTGTCATAGATTTCAGGAATTATTGCTTTTTCTCACTTCATATACTTTAAGATCCCAATATTTAACAGTATCTCTGGTTAAAAATAAACTGTTTTTTTACTTTTGGATTTTATGTTTTTAAAAACATGTTTATATTCAATTGTTGTTTATAAAATATAAAGTTTTTACACCAGAAGCTATATCGATAAACTGTGGTACTGACTAGAAACAGGCCTGAACACAGAAACGGACATATTTAACAATATTATTGTTTTGATTTATATTCTATCTTTCAGGATTTTGATTTATATTCTATCTTTCAGGATGAACATTAAATATAATGCAAGCACAGAACACTCAAAAGGGGTGCACGCATATGGCTCCTCTTCAAAATTGTATATTCTGGAAGATGTCTGTATATGGACATAAAAACAATACTTCTGCTGGGTCTCAAATTCAAGTTGAAATGTTTGTCTATTTTTTTATAAATCAAGACTGAGATGGGTGAACAATAGATGATATTATTATCTGTGGCCTCCTAGCTAGTGTTGCAGTTAATATTTTAGCATCTACATTAATGAAACATATCAATCTATAGCTTGCATACTTCATAGAGTGTTTCTCTATTAATATTAGCATAATATAAACCTCAAAAATAACCGAAATATGGAATATTAAATTATTGATTATAATCCTATTTCCCATTGGAACTAGTGATGGTTACCCTAACCCCTCAGGTCAGAACGTGTCCAATATGCTACTGGGGAAGAGCAAAGGGCTAGTACTAGTAGCACCAGAAAGAGTGAAGCGACTGGGCAAAGCCGAAAGGACACTCAACTGTGGATGCATCTGGTGGTGAAAGGAAAGTCCGATGCTGTAAAAATCTATTCTCCATAGGAACCTGGAATGTAAGATCTAAGAATCAAGGCAAGCTGGACGTGGTCAAACAAGAGATGACAAGATTGAACATCTTAGGAATTAGTGAACTAAGATGGACAGGAATGGGTGAATTTAATTCAGATGACCATGAAATATACTACTGCAGGCAAGAATCCCTCAGAAGAAATTGAGTAGCCTTCGTAGTCAATAAAAGAGTAGGAAAATCAGTTATTATATGTATGATTAAATATGTAAGTCTTTTATTGTGTTTCCCTGCAATTATCCCTAATAAAAATAGTTCTGGTTTCAGGTCTATTTGCTGTTTTATCATCTCTTCTAGTCAATTCTTTATCTTCAAGCAATATTTTTTCACTGCCGGACAGGTCCACGACATGTAGTAGTAGGATCCCAACCTTTGTTTGCACTTCCAACATTTCGGTGACATATTTGAAAACATTTTTTGACAATCTTGCTGGTGGCAAGTGCCATCTATAAAATATTTTGTATAGGTTCTCTTTGTACACTGTTGACAATATTAATTTATAATTTCTCTCCCAGTTTTTGCCAGTTATCTAATTCTATGGTATATCCAAAAATTTTTGCCCAAACAATCATTGTTTCTTTTACATATTCTTCCATTTTAAAGTTCAATAGGTAATTATACATTTTATTAATTTTTCATCTGTTCCTAACAGTATTTTATCTAGTTCTTGGGGTTCCTTATAGAATCCATACATTCCTAAATCTTTCTTGTATCTCATTTGGATTTGGGTATATTGTCACCAGTCCAAATCAATTCCGTTTTTTAAAATTCCTGTTTAGATTTCAAACCTCCCTGTTTATTTTGTATGTATTTATATCTTATAATCTTATTGAGCTAAACATTAGGGTATATTAATGCTTCCATCGTGGATAACCTGACCAGTATTTTCATGTAGTGGTTTTGTTTCATTTTTTCCCATACTGACACCTGAGTATTTCTAGTATAGTGTTTTTGAAAATATCTGTGTGATTTATTTTTCCTGTACCATATGAATGTGTGCCAACCCAGTTGTAGACCTTGTCCTTCTATTGTCAATTTTTTTTTTTTTAAATTTATCTACTCCTTCACCCATGTAAGAATTGAAGCCTGATATTACAGCTCCCAATCCGGGAGTCCAAACCCACCCTTGTTTTTCGTGTCTTGTAGCATTTTTCAGTAGTATATTCTGATATGCCTTTTTTTTTTTGGAACAGAAATTTCTATCTATGTTCTTTTTGCAACATTTTGGTTTATAGTTAGGCTGCAGTTTTCATAGGCAGATGGCTGCTGATTGCAATTTGGAATAGGGAAGGGAAAAGAAAGTAAGTTTAGAAAGGTGTTAACTAACACTAAAAAAATAAGGATTTTTTTGATTTATTATTTAAAATATTGTAAAAAAAATAAAGACCATGGAACAATAAAAAAAAACAAAACACCAGTGACACTGTAAAGAACCAATTGCTTGGCATTTACAAGAAATAACTACAGCCAAGTTGAGAAATTTTTCAAAAGTTCCCCATTGTTTACATAAAAAATAAATAAGTCAGCATGGGTAGACGGGCAATAAAGAATTAGTGAGCTTATCCCATTTTACTCTGAATCAGTTTTTCAACTTCTTCGGTGTATAGCTCTTGGATTTCTTAGTGATATTCTTTCCATATAGTTAACAGATCCACCTATTCAGTCTTTTTGAGAGCTGCCAAGGTCTACTACGTGCTGCTCCTTGCTGTATAGTAACATCTGCAGAAATGTAAGATTGCATTCTGGCATTATATTGTTGAAAAATCAGTTGAAATCAGCAAGGTCCTTTAGAACAAACATGTGTATTTATTGAATAGGCTTATATCTCACTTCTCTTCCAGAAGCATAAGGCACCCTATAGAGAATCTCTCTTCCAATGTTTCTCCATAATAATATTTCTATGAAATAGGTTAGGCTCAGAAATAATGATTTCATCAAAACATTTATGTTTGGAAATGGAGTTGAACCTGATTCTTTCTTCTTTAATCCAATATTTAAATCACTAGTCTGCATGGAGTTTTCCTAAA